TCCACTTGGGTTGTCCTATTCCCCGACAATGGGAATATTGCAGGGACGTTCGCATGATGTTGCATGGAAGTCAACACTCGTTACCATTTGGCTTAAAAGCTGGAGCAGAATTATCCAATAGTTTGCGCCGCTTGCGCGACTGCGTCCACGCGGCCATCAAGCGGAACGAGGATGATTGCAACGCCGCACAAGCGGAGAGTAAATGTGAATGCATGTTTTTAAGGAAGGGTCCAATGCAAGCGGCATCGTTTCGTTATCAATTACACAGCTGCGTTCGGATAAGTTTGCCATCTGATCATCGTCCGAGTGGTGCCCCTGTTGCGTCAGCGTGGGGGGGGGGGGGGCGGTCGCTGGAGCGTCGCAGTCCGGCTGACGCAGTCCTGGCTGACGCGGTCCCGGCTGACGTGGTCCTGGCTGACGCGGCCGGCTGACGTGGTCCTGGCTGACGCGGTCCCGGCTGACGCGGTCCCGTCCGCCAGACGTCGGCCCGACGGCCGAGCCGCTGCTGAAGCTGGAGTCGGCGCTGGACTCGCCGGCGCTGTCCGAGCAGGAGCGCTGCTGGCGCCGGCTGTCGGCCGACTACCAGTCCCGCTACTGCGGCCACTGCAACACCACCACCGACATCAAGGAGGCCAACTTCTTCGGCAGGTGGGGCGGCCGGCGCCGGCTCGCCGCCAGGCGGGGCCCCGGCGGACACCTTGTCGCTGGACGCCGCGGGGCCCCCATCCTGCGGATCACGCGTTGTTGGGTGTCGGTGCATTGGGTGGCCGCACCCTTTCATCTGGGATTTCCGATGTATCCGTGGGTGTTTCGTTGCGATTTGAAGCTGTTCTTATTGGCGTCACCCCGATGGCTCTTGTCGGGGTGTGATGATGTGATGCATTTTAACCACCAAATTCTAGTCATCGTTGAACTATCGAGGAAGTTCTGGAAGCGTTGATGCGAGAGGGGTTTTCGTAAGCTTCGTGGTTACTTTTACGTCACATCAGAACCGACCACACAGAACACATAGCAGACAGGTGTGCTCGCCGCCGCGCAGGGACGGCCAGTTCATCCTGGCCGGCTCCGACGACGGCACCTTCTTCATCTGGGAGCGGCAGACGGCGGCCATCGTGCGCGTGCTGCGCGGCGACGCCACCATCGTCAACTGCGTGCAGCCGCACCCGCGCCTCTGCCTGCTCGCCTCCAGCGGCATCGACAGCTGCGTGCGGCTCTGGGGCCCGCTGCCGGAGGGCGCGCCGCAGGAGCGGTGCGTGGCCGACGCCGAGCACGCGGCGCAGGCCAACCAGCAGCGCATGAACGCCGACCCGATGGACATGATGCTGCTCAACTTCGGCAGCCGCGTGGCCGGGGGGGACGAGGCGCCCGGCCAGGGCATCCCGTGCCGGACCAGCTAGGCGCGGCTGGCGGCCGGCGTCCGCGCGCCGCGGTCTTTCAGCGCCGGCGCCGCCGCAGCCCGGGCCGACGCTGAGCGCCGCGGGACCGCCGCAGGCGGAGGCGCCGCCGGGCTGCGGCCGCCAGTCGCGCGCGGCGTGGGGCGGACGGCCGGGCGGGTCAGGCGTCCCCCGCGCGGTAGACGGCCGAGGTGCGGGCCGACGCCTCGCGGGATGAACACTGGATGCGCGAGTCCGCGCGTCGCCGCTGGCCATGAGGCTGCATGCTGTGATGAGCCGTTGTGTGCTGCATAGATTATAATCAACTTATTGTTTTGTTCCGGAATTGTTAGATGGCATAGTTTGACTGAAACCACGAGGGAGCAGTTCGTTGCGGGCAGCACATTATGCGTTCACTTGCCATATATGCTTCCACCAGTCAGTCGTGTCATAGAAGTGATGGATTTGTAGGTCATGCATGACTACCTACCTACACGACAAAATACGGAATCTGAGAACGATTTGGTAAAACTGGCGTCAAGCAGGCTGGAGGGCCGACCCCTCAGCACAAGGCGTTACTCCAAATACAGCTTCCTTTGTCATATGCATGCCGTGTCGGTTATTTTGTCCCACCAGACGCCGTCTGGTCTAGGAATCCCCCGACACAACGGACACTGGCGCTGGCACGTGCAGTACCAAACATGCAGAACATCGCAAACATGCCTGTCCCCCCAAAACAAGGAACGATGTATCAGCACGCATCGAGATTCACTCGGTCTCCAACGGTCTCAGCTACCCGCGTGACCTGCTGTCTCAGCCGGATACACACCATGAAGCTGGGTCGGACCGTGACCCGCGTGTGCTGGGCTTGTGAGACCGCCACGGGCACGCTGTGCTGTTGCCTCGCCGTTTGTGCACGCTGTGCTGTTGACCAGGACGGCTCAGCCGAGCGGCGGCCGACCGTGTCCCGGAATAGCACGTCACTCCAAAATGTTTGAAAATCGTCCGTTTAGCAGAAATTTCTCTACGGGTTGGTAAATCCGGGTCGATTCGGAATGGGTTTTTTCTCACGGAGATAGATTCTGAACGATGATATAAAAACGAAAAGAGCCGACGGATTTCTGAAGAAGTAGCAACAAGTCGATCTTGCTGGGGTCTGTTGTGTGTGTCGCAAACCACCGAGTGACCATTTTAGAATGCATCGTGCTATCTCAACAACATTGGCTTCTAAACGGTCCGGCCTGGTGACGTCCTGACCGATTATAATAAAAGAATATTCCTGCAAGTCGCATGAAACTTCCCATGGTTCATTACAACGGCAGGGATTATAACATGCTGTATCAACAACGCTAATGCGCGCGCACTCGCTCCGTCTGAGCGTGACAGTTTTCAGCCGTCACCTCGCAAAACAATGTTTGTAAATAGCCCCGTTACAGCATAAAATCATCTTCACGTTTGTGTTAACCTTTCTGCAGCATACGTTTATCCCCGAACTGCACTCAAAAACACGCAAACCCGTTACAGCACAAATGGTCAACATGGCACTGGGCCTGTTTTCAGCACACAGTTATGTACACATCGCCGGAAATATTGTCGATGTTCGGAGCGCCATAGCACTATTCGTTATGCCGGGGAAATATCACAACATCCCGTGCACGACGTCTAGATGAAGGCGGCAAACGGATACCGATGAGTAACATTTACACGGCCAGCTTCAGTCATCAACACAACACATATCGTCACAAGCTGGGGATGGCCAGCTTACAATTTCTACCTGAACCTCACAGCAATCCAGCTGATTTAGCCACGAGCACGTCCCATCCAGGATGCCGGCACAGTGTCAGCAGCTCGGCGCCCACCCTTCCCGTCCCCGCCCCGCGTCGGCAGTGTGATCCTTGCAAAGGCCGCGGGCGTCGGCAAGCCGCGACGCGACCCTCCCCGGCTCACTCGTCCTTCTTGGCGCTGCTCTCCCGCCGCTTGTTGGTGAGATCCTGGCGCATCACCTGGCTGAGCGCGCCGTTCGTGCGCCACAGCCAGTTACACTGCGGACAGGGCGGCCCGGGTCAGGCCAGGCTGGTCCAGAGTGCTTGCTGCACCAGGAGTACACAGCGAACTAGCCGTGGGGGCGAACACACATTCTGCTACGACTTTTCGGCGCAAGTTCCGTCGCTCGCTGCAATCAGCATGATTTCAAGGCGACATTCCAAGCGGAAGAAAACGTGTAATTAATTGTGTTATGTTTATTACGTTTATAGTTGTTATAATGTTCATTATGCTTATGTGATCATGCTTCTGCTATTTTTGTGTGTGTCATGGGGACTTTCCGACACACCCAGCTGCTGAGGCTTTATGGCGTCGCCCGCCTCACACCCTGGCAGGAGGGGCGGGCGCCGCGGGGAATCGAACCCCGTACTTCTGGTTTCCCAGGCGCGCAATGATTAACGCAGATGCGCTAACCACCACACTACCGGCACCGCTACTTTTGTTATGTTCATGTTAGGTATGTTCACGTGCGTCCACCTCACCACACCCATGCAGAGTACACGAGTCATCAATTTGGACGCTTGTCATGGTGTGAAGATGTAAGCTGCTGTGATGACTGTTTCCCCACGCACCAGTCTGCCTGGTGTTTGATGTGCGCTTGTGTAGTGCAATATCACTACGATGTTTCTCGTACAGCCTCCGTCATCACAGCAAAATGTGCAATGTATCTCAGTTATTCAACGTGGAAACGGGCCACATCCTCAAGTTTCCAAACATCGCCCATGTACAAAGTTGGGTCGGAAAACCTGGGCAGTGGTGACAAGGAAACACAACTTCACTGACGATAGACCGGATCATGACATTTCTGCAGGTCCCATTGTTGGCGTGCGATAGGCCGCCCACGCTTCAATGCAAACCGTAGATTTACAGATGTGAGGCCTTGCTAATAATTGGTGTCAGATTTCGGTAGCTAGATCAGGCACGGCTATAAAGTCAGCTGCGTACTGAAGCAGTCTGATTCGAAAATGAATCATGTGGGAAAATGAATTAAAAATGACAAGGTGGGGAGAACTCTGTCCTACAACAGGACGAGGAGGTTGCTTATTGTCAAGCACAAAACGGTCCTAATGTGCCCACTTTTCCAATGACGCCGAACGCGGAGCGACGGACGGCCGATAACAAAATGATTCGAGTGGCCTGCCCATCGCCCGGACACAAAAAAAATGCCGCCAGCATGTTGATAACATCTTCGGTCTGAACAACACGCGCAGCGCAGAAATTTACTGCACAGTGTGGAATGAGTGCTTCCAGGGTATGACACCCGGCATCAATTTTCAGGCGCAATAATAAATCATTGGCTCCGTTGCATGCGTGCCCAGATGAACTGGATAACAACGTCCGGTCATCCACAGTATATGAGCTGGTACCCAATGCACTTTCGCCCGGTTTTCGTTATCGCTGCCATCCTGGCCAAGGAAGGAAACGATATTCGATAATGGAAACCCTTTCAAATGCGGCAAGCAGTGGCATGTGTCGAAACGAAATCGCTTTCATTTCTGTAAACAGAGCAGGCGAGCAACCGCATCGTAGAGAAACCAGTAGCGGCGCTATTAGGCGTCGGCGTGAGGCAAATTTGGTCCAAAACGACAACCAAGTAGAAGACTGAGTTTGACTGGAGTGGGAAACAGCCACTTTTGCACACAACGCACGTAAGTACTGAGCAAAATATCATCAGCAACAAAACAATTTTCGCGTCGCGCAAATATCGCTTTTAATATTCTTTAAAAGGTGTCAGTTAAAAAACGGAAGCCACCGCGCAGTAAGCGGCCAAAGCTTTGTAAAGCCGACCACGATTTGAAACGTCTGAAATCTCAAACTTACCACGATAAGCAGGCAGTTGAGAAGTATGGGCATAGAAAATACGATAGATACAAACATTCCCTGGCTGTCAAAATACTGCTGATTTGAGAACGCCCTGGAACGAAACGAGAACAACAGTCACCACGAATCCTTGTTAGGCTGGTAGCGCAAATATGCACAGATCGAATGACATAAACCACTTGACTTTAGTCGTCAGACGGCCACTGACATGGTGCGCAGACACTCAATAACACCCGCGCCGTAGCGGACAGCTGTCGGCACCGTCGCCTTGTCATTCCGCCGGCAACATAGAGCATACAGCTGGCATGGACAGCATCACTGGACACGCTGAATTGCCGTCAAATGAAGCCTGGCCCCAGAGAGCGAAATCCCATCGTATTTTGCGCATTGCGCGCTGAGGAGCTGTCGACTCAGACATTTCTGAGAAAGCGGTCACAAACTATGCAGTCAGAAGATATGTTGCCAACCGCTTTTTGGAATGCTAAAACCAAGGTACGCACAGGGGCTCGGGACACACAACAGAACGTTCTACACAACACAAATTAAGATGGCTTTGCTACATGGTTGGACAGTGAGCCGCATGCGGTGCCGAACGTTAGCCTAGTCAGACTTGTGCCTGGTCAGCACCTACAACATTCAATCCTTTCCTATTTTAATCTGGTGTGCTTAACATTTGTCAAACATCAACAAACTTTGTGTCACGTACTTTTATGTACGTCCCAACACGACATTGTTTAGAATAAAACTGAAACTAAATTTGAGGTATATATCAGTTACGCAAATGCCTATTCAAGACTTCATAAGAATTCGCCCTCATTGTGCCGCTCAACAACCCCTCGTCCCTCATTTCTCACCTCCAATTTTGGGCAGCAAAAGTGTTGATATCTTCTGAGAAGTACACCAAGGACACTGGAAACAAAATTTTAAAGTGACGACAAATGTAAAGAGATCTAAGGACAATACACTATCTAACCAACAATACACTCCCGAGCTTCCATCAACGATATGTGCCATAGAACACAATAGATCCAAGTCAAACTGCCATGGTGCCATACCATCCTGATCACGAGCCAACTTAATGACAATAAATGACCAGTTTGAGGACAAAGAGCATATTAATGACTGAAGCATCCCATAATGCATGACTAGCTTGCATACATGAACAGAAGAAATAATGCAGAGCCACCTGAATGTGAGCACGCGGAAATGAACTGGATACAGTTCTCCCTAGCTCAAAAGTCCACCACTCACATAGGATTACGAAGATAGCAAACTGCATGTTCAGCCTCCGCCTTGCCAGTACTGCGACCGCGAACATGGTCACATGGAATACTAACAGGGCCACGATCCACCGCTCCGTCCAGTCGACCTGCAGACAAACCGAGGCACCTCTTCACCGAGCTCCAGGGTCATGCGATGTAGCCCCTGTCAGACCCATGGCGGTGGTCTGCTGTCAGCAGCCTACCAGACCGCCAAACCAAACCCATTGTCAGCCGCTGCTTCGGAAACTTCAGCAATGTGTTCCACGCCAAAGGCTCTCTCAGGGGCAACCAGAAAATAAGCTAACACGCCAGTGGCGAATCAATAACATTGTCACTGTGGTCAGAAGGCCAAAGTGTCCAATTGATCACTGGTGAATATGGCACAGATATCCTGAGCTCAACCATGCATGATCCTATCTCCCCCACAAGCAGATTGGTCTTTGAAATCCTAGCCCCAGTGGACGGCGTATTTAACGACACGTCACGTCATATCAAGAGGGCTGCCAGGTCCACCTGGTCCAGTAGATTGCAGACTCACAAAGGAATCAGTTTCTTTGAACACCTGCTGTGCTGCAATCAAAGCTGCTGCGCATCCAAATCCCCAATAAGGGATTTCAGATGGAATTACAGAAAACATAATATATTCATTGAGTGTCTCGGTGATGCCCGGAGATGCCAGCGACCCGCCATCCCGGATCACGGCGGGCCGCTGCGCACCCCGGCCAGTCACGTGGACACCGCCGCCAGTTGAGATGGCCCATGGCTGGCTGGCCGAGACTGGTGCTTAACACGCAGCTGTGCGCGCGCGCCCACACCCACTGACAAGGCTTTGTAGTTCTTAGTTTTGACCAATGCTCATGTTAAATATATATCTCAGATATGCACAGCATGTTGTAAGACCAGGCAGTCACAGGCTGCAGCACGATAACAAATGAGCACCAAATGACAACACCAATATGCATTAATCCTGTTTTGTTTCTAACCATGCATCCTATGTGCACTTGGGTAAAACCATGCAGGATCTGGCAAAATATTTGATTCCAGCCATGCATTACCAATAATATTCATCTCTGTGCCTTCTTACCCCTTGAGCACAGAACTGGGGTGGTGCTGCTCCTGGGTGCATGTCCCAACCAGAAGTAGGACCAAGAACTCACTCCAGGTCGAACTCTGCCTCCAGGGAAACATTGTTCAGCAGTGCATATCTATGAAAGTATAGCTTGAAACCAATGGTGAAACAATTTTGGGATTCACAAAGTAGCTGTTGGTGTGATGCATGCTTGCAGTCCCAGTGAGTCTGCTGGGCTGGAGGGAGTGTCTGTCACCAGTGTTAATGTTGAGCATGTATGGACAAAATTCTGGACTGAAGATGGCACTACATCTTCAGTGAAGTCAGGCAGACTTTAAAAAAAGCTCTATCAGCAAGGGTTAAACCAAGAAGAATACAAGATGACAAAATCAGTTGACATACCAGGATTGGACCATTCTCAGGATGGTTGGATTGCTCAGCCCCAAACCAGCCAGATTGATATGAAGTTTAAATTTGGCAAGCAGATAGTGTTGCTGGCAACTAATCCAGTTCAGGTCACAGGGGTGTCTGGCAACCAGACCACAAAAAACACATGTCACACTGGCCAAGACCACCCAGTGTAGCACCCATATCACAACAAAAATTATCCTGTGTACAAATTATCCTAAAAATTATCCTATGTAAATACAAGTACTCAGGGTTTGGCATATTCGACATCAAATCCAGTGCACAACAGAACAATATTTCAGGGAATCGTTGTGCTGTTAAGTTAGTCTGAGGCAAAAAGACTAAGCACATTTTAGTTCACATCAAATAATTTGAAAATTGACCTATGCTGCCAGTAGAAACTGTTTGTCAGACACTCAAATAAATGACAGCGAAAGAGGTAGCATGACAAACAAGAGGTCCAAATAGATTTGGGACCAAATAGGACCAATTGACTTTCAAAGTTTCTGCAAATGCTACTTTGATGCCAAGTGAATCTGAATTCTGACTGAGAGTGCTTTGAAAACCCTTGAGGACCCTGTAAAAGCAAGCAAACATTGCAATCCAGTGGGGTTACCTAGTGATGTCAATGAAATGATCCTCATGTTGTAATTATAATCAAAACATGTGCCCCAACAAAATATTATAAGCTAGTTTTCCATCACCTGCATTATAAGCAAAGCTGAAAATGTTGGAAATGAATAAATTGGTAGAGCAGCAACTTATACTACACATAATATACTTTTGTATAGATGTGCATATATGGTCAGGGTGTACTTTCCTACCTAACATTAGAAAAAATCATTGTACACCATTCGTCGTGTTTAAGGCATGACATATCATAAATAATCTCAAAACAGGTAGAATCATGCTCCTACCTTCGAATTTCAATAACTTCGATGGCGGGCTCCCGAGCGCCGCGCGCACCGCACCGCCTGGGCTCCCTAGCGCCGTTTCTGCGTTGCCGTTGCGTAAATACAATATTTCTGCTTACCAAGAACTCTACAAAATGTACGGGACCAAGGTAAACCATTCGTCGTGTTTAAGGCAGGACATATCGTAAATAATCACAAAACAGGTAGATTCATGATCTTACCTTCAATTTTTTATAATTACGATGGCGAGCTCCCGAGCGCCGCACACACACAGCACCCGCGACACCGGCGCCATTACTGTGCGGGTCACAACTTTACTGCGCATCAAGCAGCATCAAGAACCATAAAAATGTACCGGGCCAAGGCAACAAGAATCCATGAAATTTGATCCTCGACGCCAACGGGACCATGGGTTGCAGGGGGATTGGGTGGGGAATATAAAGCAAAATGAGAACATGACAGCTAAATAAAAGCTCACTACATGGCACCTATATATGGCATGGAACATGGATGCCAATGGGATGCTGGGTTGAAGGGGATATAGGGTGGGGAGGTTAGGTTAGGTTAGGTTAGGTTAGGTTAGGTTAGGTTAGGTTAGGTTAGCTTAGGTCAGGTTAGCTTAGCTTAGCTTAGGTTCTGGTCTATTCTCTATTAGGTTAGGTTAGGTTAGGTTAGGTTAGGTTAGGTTAGGTTAGGTTAGGTTAGGTTAGTTAGGTTAGGTTAGGTTAGGTTAGGGTAGGTTAGCTTAGCTAAGCTTAGGTTCTGGTCTATTCTCAGGTTAGGTTAGGTTAGGTTAGCTAAGCTTAGGTTCTGGTCTATTCTCAGGTTAGGTTAGGTTAGGTTAGGTTAGGTTAGTGTAGGTTAGGTTAGGTTAGCTTAGGTTAGGTTAGGCTAGCTTAGGATATGTTCTGGACTATTCTGGCCTGTGTGTTTCATAAATGTACCTGAACTCGATAAGAAACGATTTAAAAGCTCACTACACAGCACCTATATATGACATGGAACATGGGCGCCAATGGGACGCTGGGTTGAAGGGGATATAGGGTGGGGAGGTTAGGTTAGGTTAGGTTAGGTTAGGTTAGGTTAGGTTAGGTAGGTTAGGTTAGGTTAGGTTAGGTTAGGTCAGGTCAGGTTAGGTTAGCTTAGCTTAGGTTCTGGTCTATTCTCTATTAGGTTAGGTTAGGTTAGGTTAGGTTAGGTTAGGTTAGGTTAGGTTAGGTTAGGTTAGGTTAGGTTAGTTAAGTTAGGTTAGGTTAGGTTAGGGTAGGTTAGCTTAGCTAAGCTTAGGTTCTGGTCTATTCTCAGGTTAGGTTAGGTTAGGTTAGCTAAGCTTAGGTTCTGGTCCATTCTCAGGTTAGGTTAAGTTAGGTTAGGTTAGCTTAGCTTAGGTTAGGTTAGGCTAGCTTAGGATATGTTCTGCACTATTCTGGCCTGTGTGTTTCATAAATGTACCTAAACTCGATAAGAAACAATGTTGGTTGCTTTATTATTGTTACTTTGGTCCCGTACATGTTTCATGGTTCTTGATAAGCAGAAATATTGTGCTTTCACAACAACGCAGAAACGGCGCTTGGGAGTCGAGTCGAGTCGAGGCGGTGCGGTGCGGTGCGGTGCGGTGCGTGCGGCGCTCGGGAGCTTGCTATCGTATTTATTAAAATTTGAGGGTAGGAGCATGATTCTAAGTTTTGAAATTATTTACGATATGTTCCGCCTTAAACACGACAAACGGTTTACCTTGGTCCCGTACATTTTGTAGAGTTCTTGGTAAGCAGAAATATTGTATTTACGCAATGGCAACACAGAAACGGCACTGGGGAGTCCAGGCGGTGCGGTGCGCGGCGCTCGGGGCCCCCCATCGAAGTTATTGAAATTCGAAGATAGGAGCATGATTCTACCTGTTTTGAGATTATTTACGATATGTCCTGCCTTAAACATGACGAATGGCGTGCAATGATTTTTTGCTAACGTTAGGTAGGAAAGTACACCTACACTGCATATATTATATCATACCACATATATTATAACTAGAGATAATTGTTTCTGATTTGTTCATGACAAGAGTCAAAAACCTCCTTGATGAAAGAGGGAAGAATACAAAGCAAGCAGTGAGGGTCATGGAATCTCAATTGGAACCTAGATGGGGCTGGCAGCACCAGAGGGGCAAAATGTTGCAGAGCCCTGATCAAATCAATCAAATTTCCAAAATGTAGCAAGTTGCTGACAGCCTTGGCAGGCATCCTAGGCTAGCACACTCATGCATCATGCAAAGGTGCAACAAAATGTACATGTCACAACTGATAACAGCTTTCTATCAAGACAAAATCGGATATAGACCCATGCCATGTTAATAGCGTACGCTGACACTGTATTACGGCCCTTCCTACCCTCCGAAACGAAGCTCCATAGTCGTAGAGCTTCTCTCTCATTGTACACACGTTTAGATGCATCATCTGAAGTCATCCTGACAAACCGCTAGTGTGCTTGGACACTATTTTATACCACAACCATACTAGGGCATGGTCTGCTGATGCCGCGCCACATCCGCGGAAAGCTTACGCTGCAATGCCCGTGAGACGGCCAATGGAGCCCGCGAAGAGCCTTGTGCTTCGAAACAAAATAGCACGGTTCTTCTTGCCGCACAGATTGCGACAATGCTCACGCACGTGTTACAAAAGAAGTACCTAAAGTAGTGCCATTCCATATGCAAGTTTTGCTCTCAACCCTTTTGTGATGCTACTTTTCTGGTGCTTTTTCACATGAAAAAATTCAATGTATGAAGAATGGTCATAAATTTAATGTGTCTTTGATAATGGTTGATGGCACCCACGTATTTTTACGATTAAGTCAAAGTACACGAAAGTCCATCAGCAAACTCTGCCGCCAGTTGTGGTAAAACAAAGATGCAAAAATCCCCAAATACCACGAATAAATCGGTGGCATAAAGCATGCTGAGCTATCATCCTAATAGGCATTTCAGTACATTTGTCTTACCGAGCTCCAAATGCACTAGAAATGCTGTTAATGATCTATCGCAACTTAAAGACAGAGTTTTAGTGCCGTCATAACCTCCGACCTCGAACGTTCCGTGCAAGAAGCAATCCTCAGCAAAAGCATAACATCCGGGCAGTCAGCGTGACTGTCGGAGGCGTGGTGGGTTACATTTCTGCCTGGTGGAACCCAGCGTGCGAATTGTGGCGGGGCTGTTGACAGGTTGCGTGGGAAAGCCAGAATCTTCCCTTCAATGAGGCGACAAGCTACCCATTGAGGCCAACCACTGCCAACATATCATACTCTACGATATGCTTTCGCACCAGATTTAGGGGTTTTAGGATGTATCCATAGTTGCCCAAGGGTGTGCCCATAGGTAACATGAGGTGTCCCGCTGTAGGGGTGTTTGCCTAATGTTCCTAACAGCCGCTCCAAATGTCATGTCTTGCACCAACCTGGCTCCATGAAAGTATGTGGATCTGGTGTTGTGCATTCTGGGACAAAGGTTGAGATTGATTGATGCTTATTTGTTTGTTTTTTTCTGAGTGACACTAATCATAGGCTTAAGTTCACACAAATGCAAGATTTTGTTCCACTGCACAAGCTGTTAACAAACAGTCAATAGTAAGCGAGCTGTTGAAAACACTACATAGCGCGATATGTTGCCCTCTCCTTAATCATCATCCTCCCGGTGGTATAATTCCTTTTGTTACCAAAGCTTGCACAAATGCAAGCCTTTCAATTTTTAATTGTTGAAGCTACTGGAATGGAGAGGTGGAGAGCATGTCAACTGTAGTTGTACAGGAACAATTTGTATCCATAATTTTGGGTGTAAATTACATTCTGTATTTTCCCTAAAGACATGATCATAGTTTTCCATCTATATTCTGATTGGATCCTACAATCTGTGAAGCAAAGTTATGTCATCGCTTATACCCATAATCAACATTGACTTCACTTGTTATGGAGGAAATTGGTGGTGTATCTTCCAAGGAAGTAGTTAATTTCAGCACATTTTCTCAAATGGTGGCAAACAATTGTTTTTAGCCAAAGCTGACAGGAGTATAGGCGGGGGCACAGGGTTCACCAGTCACCAGTAAACATGCAAGGTGGCACCAGTTAGCTAGTATCCCCTCCTGTATTTCCTGATGGGACTATAACCAATGATTAGGGTCTGATCAGAGGACCAAATGGCTGGTCAGGGGTCATATAAAAGGGCTCCAGACCCTAGCAGCAGGCCTTGAAGTGTCAGATAGAAGGTCTCTTGCACAAATCAGGGGCTCCCCAGAAAAAGGTGGGTCTCTATGTTGGCCAGAGACCACCAACAATACAGTGCTGGCTTGATGCCAATCCTGACTCTGGAGGCCTTGTTGGTCAGGGACAAGGCTCAGGCCAGCAATTTACAGTGGTTAGGGCCCCTGAAACATTGAGGGGCCCCTGCATCAGCCAGGGGCTTGTACTCAACAGGTGTCTCTGCTCTGTGCCAATTATTGGACCTCTTGTGTCAATAAGATATATTTTTGCGTCAATGAGGGTTCCTGTATCCATCTGGGGCAAACTGCTGTGGTCAGAGGGCCTGCCACATCAGGCTAAGTAGCCCCAGCTTCTGTGTGGTCAGAATGACAGCCAGTATTTACCTGGGCTGGTCTGAAAGTGGAATTAATGAGCTAAAGACTATATAAAATAGATCCTAGTATGTGCTCTTCCAGTCCTGAAAAGCAAGAACACCAACATCTGGCATTCCAGTTTGCATCAAATTTACTATTTGAATCATGAGAAGCGATACATAAAGCATTCAGAGGTACTTCGTTCTCATGACCAATTGTGTCCACTCATTGGATATCACTATGTTAGCGGTGGGGCCGATGCCTTAAGGTCCCTGGAGACTGCAACGCCATGCGTCGGTGCTTTTGCTTCTATCCTGAACAGTTACAGGGGCATGCTGAAAGTGACTTTTGGCTAATTTTCTGCTAATGAATTCTGAAGATATGTGGAACATCCTGAAGTAGATATGGTTTGGCAATATCAATGAAAATGTAGGCGGATTTTGATGTGATCTATGTTAGATCCAGCGGGCCCCTCAATATCTGCAGGGATGTGGAAAATGGATGACTCTCCTGGCTTTTATCAGTTTTAGAAGAGTTTACTGGAATGTTATAAAATGAGTCACACTGGCAGTTATGTGATGCAGTAATTTTTCTGATTTCTAGACTCAGCCAAAGCACATGTTATGGTAGTTCTGGATACTGGTTCAGTAAAGTGAGAAAATGAATAGAAAACAAAGTGAATAGACTTTCTAAAATCAAGTGTGCCAAATCCAGCATCAGCCTTCCTCAAATCAAATGAGCCAAAATGTCTTCCATCAGCAGGGGGTGTTTGCGATCATGGTGCCCCCCCCCCCCCCCCCCCCCCCACCCTAGCTCTGCTTACCAAGGTTCTGGCTGTGCTCCTGAAAGCTCACCAGGAAATTAATGGACTTCAAGGAAGGGAATAATGTGCATAGGTGTCAGTGGCATTTGTTGTGAAATCTAGTATTTGCATGTTTGATTATACAGGCTGATTGAATGGTGATTGTTAGTACACAGGTTAGTGACCATCTGCTCACAAACATGTGTTGGTTCCCAGATTTACAGGCCCAAAAAATGCCCAAAAAATTTGTGGGAGAGAATGCTAAATCTGCTGCTGCACGTGCCAAAAAAGCATCAGCCAAAGCAGAAGCTGAGGAGAGGAAGCAGAAGGCTGCAGATGACGAGTACTGGAAGGATGATGCTAAACATGTTGTAAAAAAGCAAACTAAAAAGGTGAGTATGAATGCATTGATCTTTTAATATTACTTGGTCATGGATTGTTAATATTCTGATGTGTTGCAAAATTTGAGAGAACTAATTTTAATCATTCGGTACTTCCCAATCTCTACTTCTCATTGCGTGACGCATCATCACACAAGCCAGCTCAATGGTGTCATCAGCACCGCAATCTTTCAACCCCACGTGTCCGCCCCAGGAGGACGCAGAGCGCAAGAAGGCAGAGCAGCAGCAGAAGAAGCAGGAGGCGGCGCTGCTGCTGCAGCAGGAGGAGGCAGCGCTGCAGCAGCAGGTGGCAGCGAAGCGGCCGGCCGTCAAGGTGACGCGTAGCCAGGTGCAGGCGGAGCAGGAGCGGCGTGCGGCCGCCTCGCGCCCCGCCGCCCAGAAGGACGCAGCCACGCCCGTCCTCCAGACGCCCGCCGCGCTCGAGGAGAACGTCAACCGGCTGGTGACCGAGGGCGTGGAGGCCCGCACAGTCGAGGAGGCGATCGCCGCTCTCAGGTGGGTGGTGCCCCGGCCGTCGGCTCTCCCACCCAGCACGCACGCCGTCTGCAGGCGAACATGCTCGCCGGAGCCGGTGCGGTTGAGCTGCTTTCTCCCGAACTTTGTGTCAAATATCTCGTGAATGGCGAGATGCTGACGTGCTAAATGTCATATAATCAATAATGTAAGATGCCAAGTAGAATCAAATCCTGAAAGCCGGGGCGTAGTTTTGCAAAGGGATTGAGGGGGACGACTGAGCCCAAAAAAATGACGGAATCTGCCCTTAAAAGGCGCCAACAAGCGGGTTTCTCCCCAGATTTTGCCCATATTTTTCTCAAAGTTGTGGGTTAGGGCGAGGGGCTTGACCCCTCGCCTTCCCAACTGAATAGAAATGGATGTCTTAATTTGATAAATGTTCTCTTTCATGGTTTTGCCGTCTCCTGCTGAGCACCCGATTTTCGAAAGATCACGCTTAGGCCTTTGTGCCTCTGGACGACAGAATTACGTCCCGTCTAAGTTCAGCCCATCATTTCACACTACGTGGCTTCACATTAACGCCCATGGTGTTCAGGCGCGCAGACGGCTTCGCCAGCCCACGTGGCACCTATCATTGAGTTAGTCATTTCTCGCCCCTGTTATCGTTGCTGATGAAACTCCGAACGAACTGTGCCACAAAATGTCTTTAGAGTTCGGGACTGAGATGTCTAATCATTTCTTGGGACGCGGCCTAGAATGTATCATAATTAGACTTTGAAACTTTGTAAGGTAAAATGATTTGAAGTGTACATATAATGTCTCCACTCAATATAATAATCCACAAATGCAAGGATAGCATCTTATCGATCAACAGTACACCAATCCCGGTCTAAGATTACGAGTTCCACCATAAAGGCCGAATTTTCCCTCCAACACTCGGTGTACGGACGTGCTATCTCCGTTGGTAGCGGGAAAGGGCTGCCACTAGGCTTTGACGCCGGAGAGGGCAGTAATAAAACTTAGTAAGCAATGCACTTTAGCCCCTTAGAATGTATATTCTTCAAAGCGGGCGTGATCTAGCGACTGCACGCATATCCCGACTAATAAAATGTCGACAAAAAGACGAGACTCCTCATTCGCCAAATCGCATTGCCCTGCAGTTTGTGCGCAAAATGTATTAAAAAGCTATTGTTACTACTTAATTGCGGCATAATGCCTAAGACGTTTGGGCGTGCCCCACATGCCCTCAGGCCCCGCTCCTCCGGCGAGTCATAAATGCGGCCGCATGGGTGTCGTGCAAAATATAAAAATATAAAAACGTAAAATCATCATGTCTCATATTGATTACTCGCCACTTTGTGTAAATTATGGTTAATCGGAGATTGACATACCCCGATTGAAATGTGTCGTTGGGGTCCGATGATTGATCCCACCATCCCCACTGTGTCCGTGTGTTCAGTGTTGGCGGTGGGGACGACGCTGACCGACACCCGGAGCGGCGAATGAAGGCGGCGTTCAAGGCGTACGAGGAGGAGGCGCTGCCTCGACTCAAGCAAGAAAACCCGGGCATGCGGCTATCGCAGCTGAAGCACCTCCTGTCCAAGGAATGGAATAAGTCTCCCCAAAACCCGCTGAACCAAGCGCACCAGGCATACAACACCCGATCGGGCAGCTGATGCACGTACGGCCCGACACGTGACTCCGTTCTAGGTGTTTGTTTCACGGCAAACGAAATACATGAGATGGCTTGGCATTATGGTTAAGATACTAATACTTGTGTGAGCTACGCGCTGCAGCTGCGCTCACTGACGTCTTCAAACGACGCAGGGTGATATGCTCTTGATCTGCGAGGCTGGCATCGGGAGTCGCCGCAGCCTGTTTTATCCCCTTCGTCCGCTTCGTTGCTGAGCAAGTGAGTTGTCATTTGGGGTGTCGCACGATCGTTTGGTTAAGCTCTTTGGTAAGCAATACATTATCTTTTGAGCGTGGGATATTTGTGGTGCTGAATGGGCCACGCCGTCTCGCTGCATCCATCTGTCAGTTGAGGCGGGATGGGAAGAAAACCCGGATGGATCATTCGGCAATCGACATGAATGCAAAGCGAGTTCAGATCCCGGACCCTTGAGCTTAATTCTGAAAGGCATCTTGCATCCCAAGATTGAATCAATCTTGGGTACAGAAAACCGTATGTTCGATACAAGATTGGGATTTTGACATTTAATGCGGATTCCGCGTAAGTCTGAAACGAAGTGTGCTATCGATGGGTGCTATTTGTCTTTGGGATGACCGTAAGATGTTCTGTGCTGTCGTTTGAGGTTTCCCGCATTGGTTTGCTTGTAATGAGTTCTATGGCAGCAGTTATGAGGTGCTTTATCGCACGTAGCTCGTAGATGTTTGAATTCCAGATGTTTGCACGCGAGTTAAAAATGCAAGAGCTCGTATTCTTGCAAACTGCAATTCACATTTTAATACATACATAGACACAAGTACACTGGTCTTCACAATGGCTTAGCCATCACCTGGATCAGAAGAATCTCATCTGATCTTCTGATCATTCTGCTCGTACTTATCCTGCGCCTGGGTCCTAACACACATCAATCGTCCGGTTTTCATTACTGATGGTACAGTTGTCTAAGCTCGTAATGAAGCCTTCCATGACTCCAGCGCTTTGGAGAGAGTACGCAGGTCACCCCGGTGTTTCATAAGAAAAGCGCCATTGAAATGAAACACCGGTATATCGTAGCGGTAAAGCTTGTGCCATTGTTTGTTCTCTGGGAGTGTGATGTCCACCTTGCGAAGAGATACCTAGCAGGAGGAGAGAACGACATGAGTTGGTAATCAGCACCGCCAATCAGTGATGCTTTCAATGGTGATCACAATCGCTAAAACTCAGTCGCTAGTGGGAAGAGTTCGAGTGGATCGGATAGTCGTGATCGGTGATGAGTTACACTCCACGCAAACAAGACAAAACATTTCCCGGTGAATATCCTGTTTCGATGCCGGAGCAGTTACACAGACAGTATAACTCTGGCTTCTCGCAGGGCCATGAGCGACGCATTTCAGCACATACCTTGGTTTATGGAGGTTGCAGTGCAAACCACGTCATTTCTGCACTCGTCTAACCCATGTGACAGCATCAAAGGCATTGTCTCTCAAAGCTTAGACTCATGACCACTAAACATATGGAGCAATTGAGCCCAATATATCTGCACACCCTGGCAAGGAGCCACCATTGCACCTGACAAGAACAATGTCATTACAAACAAACCTCATTGAGGGCTGGAGCCAGAGCCTGCAGGGCCTCATCACAAAGAGGACATGGCGTCTTAGTGAACAAGGTCAGCTCGGGCAGAGCTGCGAAACTTGATCTGGGAAAACATGAGCACATGTAACCAGTTGCAGGTAATGGGTGCCTTGAACCTTGTGCAACCAAATTGTAATATACATTGTTTTAAAGTTGTGCTGTGTAAGAAGGGTGACTGTGAATGATGTGAATGAAAGACCAAGATTCTGATGGTATCTATGTTATGGTCCTCTTATATCCAGGCATGACATACCTAATGCTAGTCACCATACTCACCATTCAACTACATTGTCAATATGAGGGTCAAAGTGAAAGATATTGATTACTGCCAGAGCCACTGAAAATTATGAGCACCTCCCAATTTTCAACCAAAAGCAAATTGTTTTTGTTTAAATACACATATTATGCATGATTTATCAGCTACAAGCTTGATGTGTGGTCAAAACTGAGTAAAGATAAGGCAGCATGGTTGTATGTGTGTGATTGCAATTACGGTTTGAGGGTACACTCAGCTAATGACCTACTGAGGCTGCATGGCATTGCCCACACCTTACTCTGGCAGGGAGGTGGACATTATAGGCAATTAAGGTGTTGGATACATGTGCCTGAATCTATCAGGAGTACCTGCAAATTTAACATTTGCATTTTGACTGCAAAAGGTTTCTTGTCATGGTCTTATTACCATTTCAGGTGATTTATTTCTATTAAAATGCCTTCAACAGCTAATATACTGACTATGTTCATGCTGAAGTAAATCATGTTGAAATTGTCCTGCCTTAAGCATACAGCACAGTTTCTTTGAGGGCAAAACAGCAAGAAACAAAGACTTAAGAGACCTACAGCCACACAGACAATTCACATAAGATAACATACTTAGTTTTCAATTGTCCACCGAAGCCACCATCTCTACAAATGGACTCCATACCCCACGGCCTCCTCCATGGATGCAAGAAGATAAGTTTTCCTGTCCTGCTGATCATTTCCTTAACCCACACACTGAAAACAAGGAGAATCGTTTGCCATGAATCCCTAAAACCACAGTGCAGGCCAAAAGTGAAGCATATATCTCGTTAATCATTGTAACAACTCGAAAGTTAGGCACCTCTTATGCGAAGCTAACCATCCATTATGAGTTTTAAAGTGAATGCCCAGAGCCAATAACATGTCTCTACTGCGCCGTTAACGTATGCATAGATATCGTAAAATACAGCCTCCAGTACTTGGCTAAAGAAGCTTAACCCTAAGGTTTGCCAAAAATCGTAATTTTGGGTATAGCGCCCACTTTGTGTCAACAAGGTATCTTGATGCCGTTTTGTTAGAAGGGAGCATCATTCTTGTAAATTTCATCACAGTCTATCGTTGTCATGAGCCGTGACCCGCGTCTTTCTCAGCTTGGGCAGGAAGGGTAAGAGGTCAACTGTCATGCCCTGTAGGCTTCCAAGCGATTGCAGTTTGACACCTGAGCATTATTTAAGAGAAAAATGGTTTGAAATGTTTGGGAAAAGGTGGGTTTTGCGCCCCATGGTTTTGGAGAGAATTCACTTCATATCAAAGCTTTCCTCAGAGGTTGTCAGCCACGCCTCAGAGGAAGTGCCTAGCAAAGTCGACTCAAATACAGGCAGGGGTGCATGATCGGCCGGACACTTAGGTACACACACATTACATAAGGGCTGTTTCCATACACGCAACCGAAAGAGTAATTGTGGATTGCTTTATATATATATATATATGTATATATATACATATCTGTATTAGCTTCGTTTTAGGGATGCCTCGCGCAAGCTGTCAAGCAAGCAGGCAAGCAAGGAGAAATATGCATGCAGGGTGGCTGGCTTGCGCGATGTGCCGTATTTTTAGCCAATAATAAGCCAGGCTTTTAAGTTTTGACCAATCATATCCTAACAGCCAAGACGTTGCCTTGAAATTATCAGTGAGTTCGAACACTACGTTAATCAAGGTCGTAGCTAATCATTTTGGTGACGATGCGGCAATGATGCGGAAGCTTTGGGGCGGAGTGTGCTCTGTTTCGGGTTCTATACTTCCCTTGTTCATGAAATAAATTGGGGGACGCAGCGTATGATGTGGCTTGAGAGATAGTTTTGACCGTTTGAATATGAAGATCCTGTTCGCCTGACTTTTGTGAATTTGAGACATGATTGAATTGTGCTCTAGAAGGCGCATGCTTGCTGTGGTCGTTCTGCTCGTGTGGTGAGTGCCTTCTCGCCTACCTTGCATGGAGATTTGGTCACAATGCATGCGTCAGCAATGGATTCCTTGAAGGGTTATATGTTCCCTTTATTCAACTCCATTTACCTGGAATACTTTCGTGGTTAAGATTTTCCATCCTTGTTCCAACCAGCATCAAATGCAGGCCAGTCTGCAAAGCAAATCCATTAAGTGTGATGGATGCCTACTCCTCACTGATATGGTGAACCCCAGACTTGTGGTCTGAACTCAGACCAGACCAAAGGTGTTAAATTGAACCTTTGCACCATGCTGTGAGCATTTTGCATAACATTATGCTGGCCACTGTAATTCCCAGACAAATTAGTTCTTTGGGCACAGCACTTGAGTGTGGTTATGTGCCAGAATTTGAGCAAAGCAAAATTATACTTAGTGCACACACACTTAAGTGTTATCAGTTATGTTATTTTGTTGTTAGACAGATAAGAGCAATGTGTGAACAAGTCTGGTAATAGGACTGCAGGTGACATTGAATGAGTTTTTAATTAGTTGTCCTATAAACATCCTCAGGGTATGGATATGTCATGCCATGGCTTCCACACACCACATGAGCTTTCTCACCATTATTTCTTTTGGTTGGTTGTAAGCAAACCAGAACATCACTTTACCTACTTTGGCATGTGGTCAGAAAACATGTCATAAAGGCACTCCTCATTAAACATTTTGTCAATGCTCACTGGTGAAAAACTCAGGCTGAAAATCTGTTTTACCACACAGAAATGCTTTTGGGATTATTCAAGCTCACTAGCCATAGAATTACCATGAATGAAACTGGCAGGGAAATGAACTCTGCATGTGGGAAGGCCTTCTCATGTCTGAATATTGAGTTTGTACTGGTTTTGTAATTTGGTGCTTTGATTAGTGGTAAGATATAATAATCCTCATTTTTATATTTGATCTTCTGGGCATTGGGTTATATTTTGTTGCTATCTGTCCCTAGGCTCACACATGTACCCTGGTAAGAAGGGCCAATGAGGATGCCTAGGGACTTCTACCTTATATGTTGTTTCAATGTCTGGCACAGTTAGATGGAGGGTTTTTATTATAGAAAACAATGAAACCAACTAATTGGAGTTGTTTTGTGATCAGGAGATGCCCTCCTGGTTGCCTGCTCATGGTTGACAGAAAGACAAAGACAGAAAATACATAGCTGTTGTGCCCATGTGACACAAATTTGTAATTACTGTGGCCTCTTTAAGCCTGAAATAAGAAGTTTAACACCATGTTTTCTCCCCCATATCCACAGTGTGAGTATCGTCATTGTGCTACTGGAGAACATCTTGACACCAAGCATTGGGAGGAGCAGAAGGTTGCCAGCTGTTTCCGCTGCACCCCTCTTGACAAGCAACAGTTCATCGCCACCTCCAGCACCCTGCTGGCAGCGGGAGACATTCTCTATCACTGAACAGTGTCGCCTTTGCTCAGGTTCGAGCCTCATCTCAATGTGGACCTATTCTCATTTTTGCCTGTCACTTATAGTGTTTCTGACAGTGATGAATGTGCACTGCTGCTGCTGGGGGCATGGTAGCTGGGACAAGGGTACCAAACAGTGTGGTCAAAACTGACATCCCTCTGCATGTTTTGAAACCAGCTTGTGACATTGCCTTGGTTATCCAAAGCATAACAGGGTTGCAACTTGATCATAAATGCATTAGTGGATAATGGTGGCCACAACCATGATAATTAATGAAGCCCATCATATGACCAGCCCATGGTTTCTATCTCAACATCTTTTCACAGATTTTGAAAAAGCCAGTGCAATCATACCAGAGTGTGCAAATAACTTGCACATAGAAGTTCTCAAGTGTGAGAGGTCTGGGAAAGCTGTCCGTGGGTAAGTGCGAAACCTGCAGACTTGTTTCATCAGTCATTGTTAGAACACAGTGATTCCATTGTTTGATGTGGTGAGCAGTGTGGGTTGCTGGCACCCAGACACCGAAGACATCGCTCCTGTGCGTCAGTACTGTTCTGGCTGTGCATTCCTGGTTCTAGCCATTCGTCACCCTGTCTGCTCACTGGGACCCATCAGTTGCCTGTGGAGCGGCGTCTGTCGTCACCCTGTCCGCTCACAGGCTCACAGGGACCCGTCAGTCGCCTGTGGAGTGGCGTCTGTTGCCACGCTGTCCACTCACAGGGACCCGTCAGTCGCCTGTGGAGTGGCGTCCGTCGTCATCCTGTCCGCTCACATGGACCCGTCAATCGCCTGTGGAGCGGCGTCCGTCGTCACCCTGTCCGCTCACATGGACCCGTCAGTTGCCTGTGGAGCGGCGTCCGTCGTCACCCTGTCCACTCATATGGACCCGTCAGTTGCCTGTGGAGCGGCGTCCGTCGTCATCCTGTCCGCTCACATGGACCCGTCAGTCGCCTGTGGAGCGGCGTCCGTCGTCACCCTGTCCGCTCACATGCACCCGTCAGTTGCCTGTGGAGCGGCGTCCGTCGTCACCCTGTCCGCTCACATGGACCCGTCAGTCGCCTGTGGAGCGGCGTCCGTCGTCACCCGGTCCTCTCACAGGGACCCGTCAGTCGCCTGTGGGGCGGCGTCCGTCGTCACCCGGTCCTCTCACAGGGACCCGTCAGTCGCCTGTGTAGCGGCGTCCGTCGTCACCCTGTTCGTGCTCAGGCCGGCATCGCCCGGGCGTCACGTCGGTCCGTCCCCCACCCGCTCCGTGCCCCGGGCCTGTAACGTGCGGTCCTGCCGCCAGGTGTGCTGAGATCGGGCGGCTCGGGGAACGCCAGTTCTGGCTGCTGGAGGCGGCCGCGCTCGGCTCGGCGCTGCTCTCTGGCGCGGTGGTGATCGTGCGCCAGCACCAGCTGGAGCGCGGCGCGCTCAGCAAGATACAGCGCCAGCTCGCCTCACAAGTATAGCGCGACATGACGACCAGGTAGGCTAAACTTTGCTGATAGTAAACAGCTGGCCTGTTGACCTAACAGTGTGTGAAATGGTGCTTTCGTTACTTGCGGATCCTGAATCAGGCTTTCCACCTTGCACCCTCGGAGCATGGCAGTATTGAGAGCAAAAAGGTCGCAATTGTACCGGAATTTGTATGTTATAGTAATGAACAGGCGTGATATAAGTATGCGAGAGAAGAATAAAGACTCATTTCAGATATTGTGCATATTCTGGCACCATTTTCTCCATGTGACGCGCAAGTATTTTATATTGAATAGACGTTTAATTGATGCACCAGGGAAGGATGCATGCTCGATGAAATCGGTGCCACGGAATCGTTGGACGCAGATATGCTGCGAGTGGCTCGACAGTGGCTATGTTGACGGGTCTCCAATCTCGCATGTAGGAGGGTGTGCCACTAAGGTTTTAGTATTTTCACACATTCTAGATGTTCTGGTGTGGAAATATGCTTAAGGTTTTGAAAGATAGTGTCTGACATTGGATGCAGCCATTTGTCTAGAAAGCCGCGTCGTAATTTTGATCAGACTTTTTCTGGCGACGGCCCGACAACTTCCATCTGTTCCCACGACGGCGAATCGGGTTTCTGCCCCGCCTACCTGCGGTCTGCGCTCCTGACCCGCACGCCTGTGACGCCGCTGACTAGGCTGGGGCCGCTGGAGGAGGACGGCGAGGTGCTGTCGGCGTATGACGGGCTACAGATCTACCTGCCGTGTCTGGACGATAGCGGCCTGGTGCCGGTGGAGACGGCCGCCGGACTCTTCACACTGCTGGCCGCTGGTGTACCGGCCGGCTGGCTACGGCCGGTGGTGTGGCGCCAGCCGCCGGACGGCGCCGGCCCGGCCGTGCGCGTGCGCCTGCCGGGCCCGGCTGTGACCGAGGCTCGGCTGCCGGCCGCCGTGGCCGCCTGCCGCCTGCCGGCCGCCCATGTGCCGGCCGAGCGGCTGTGCGTGGCCGGCCTGTGCGCCGTGGTGCGGCGCGCCGTGCGCACCGTCGACCGGCTGCGACGGCCCGGCGACACGCACTACTGCCGCCGCGACGACAGCCTGCTTGGCTTCCGGCGCGGCACGCTGGCGCCGCCCGCCGACGCCTCGCTGTGGACGAGGTTCTGCGAGCGCGACGTGCCGGCCGCCGTGCGCCGCGTGCTGGCGGCCGTCGCTCCGGAGGCGGGCGTCGCAGGTCCGGTCGGAGACGGTCCTGAGAGCGACGCCGACCGTGTTGACTCGGAAGAAGTCGTTCCTCCGGCTGCCATCGGTCCCCAGACGGCCCCCGTCCATGCTGACCCGATCTCAGCCAATGCTGAGCCGGCCTCAGCCAAAAGTGAATCGGTATTAGCCAATGCTGACCCAGCCTCATTCAGTACTGCCCCAGCACCAGCTAATACTGACTCGGCCTTAGCCAGTATCAAATCAGCTTCAGCCAGGTACTGACACAGCCTCAGCCAATACTGCCCCAGCGTCAGCCAATACTCACTCGGCCTTAGCCAATACCGACCCAGCTTCAGCCAATACTGGCCCCGCTTCAGCCAATACTGACCCAACCTCAGTCATTGCTGACCTGGCCTCACTCGGCACCGATCCGAGCGGCGCCCAGCCGTTTACGGTGCCGCCCGAGCCTGCTGCAGTTCGAGCACCACATGCAGCAGCCGCTGCGCGTGCACAACGTCTGGAAGCAGGAGCAGGCGTTCGGAGGCCGGGCACGGAATTGGAAGAGCGGCGACCACCGCATGTCGTTACAGTGCGTGCGGCACACGTACGCGGAGGGCCACGTGCTGACCATCAGCGACCTGCTGCTGTACCCGTGGCGTGCGCGTCGTGCAGGAGGCGCTGGAGCCGCACGGTCTGCGTCTGGAGGAGGCGGCGCCGGGCCACGCTCGGCTGGCTGCGGGCGGTGGCGGCCGTGGCCGGCCTGCCGGACGTCTGGGACGGCGACGTTCCCGGCGGGGAGCGCGCGGCCGCCCGGCCCGCCACTCCGGCTGCTGCTGCCGCGCGTGCCGCCGCAGAGCCTGTACAAGAAGGATCCGGCGCGCTACAAGCCCAAGAGCCGCCTGTTCACCGTGCAGTCTGACGTGTCGGCGGCGCTGGACCGGCTGGAAGCGGCGCAGTTCGGCAGCCGCGTGGCGGCGCACCCGGGCCACGGCCGGCTCCGGCTCGACTGGGAACGCGCTGCCGGCGGCCGCCAGCCGGCCGAGGGCGGCCTTCCTGCCACCCGCCTCCAACCGCAAGCAGCACCAGCTGGAGAACCTGGCCTGGCTGGCAGTGCGCGCCGCGCGGCCCGGCGACACGCTCGTGGACTTCTGCTGCGGCGGCGGCCATCTGGGCCTGCTGCTGGCCGTCCTGCTGCCCGCCTGCAGCGTTGTGCTGGTCGAAAACAAGGAGGAGTCGCTGCAGCGGGCCCAGCACCGCATCGCCGCGCTCGGTCTCACCAATGTCAGCCTGTACCAGTGCAACATGGAGTTCTACCGCGGCGCCTTCCAGCTGGGCGTGGCGCTGCACGCGTGCGGGGTGGCCACCGACCTGGTGGTGAGCACTGCCTGGCGGCCGGCGCGGCGCTGCTCTGCTGCCCCTGCTGCTACGGCGCCGTGCACGACTTCGGCCCGGTGCGCTACCCGCGCAGCGCGGCCGGCCGGCGCACGGGCGCCGCGCCACGCGACTGGCTCGTGCTAGGCCACGCCGCCGACCAGACGCACGCCGACGACTCGGCCAAGTCGCAGCAGGGCCGCGTCTGCATGGCGCTGGTCGACTCGGACCGCGCCGCGCACCTGGCCGAGGCCGGCTACCGCGTGCTGCTCACCGTCGCCGAGCCGGCCGACTGCAGCAACAAGAACCATCTGCTGGTGGCCGTGCCGCCCGGCTGGGACGGCGACGCCAGCTTCCTGGCCGGCGCGGCGCCGCCCGTTGGCTGCCAATTAGGCGGCGACAACTGAGACGCGCCGCGACGGGCGGCGCTGGTGACGATGGCGACGCTGGCGCGTGTTGTTTTTGTGTTCAGCGGATGTGTAGGATGAAGAGGCCGTGGGATAAGCGGGCGTTGATTTATCATGAACGTGTAACTATTGGTTTTAAAATATACATGCCAAAAGCTTGTGTTCTTAAGTAATCTTCGTTTCAAACACGGTCTCAACTGACAGCACTTATAAATTGTCGGCTGCTGGCACTTCGATGTACTATTTTGCGTTAGCGAATGGTAACCCGCCGCCTTTATCCGTGCATCCTCAGCTCAGATTGTATCAAATGCATACGGACTTGGATCACTATGCGTGTTCCGCTTTTTTTTTTACTGTTTCACGCTCTGGTAGGGGCTTCATTGCTGCACCGAAGTTCAAAGGCTGGGGGGGGGAGGGGTCATTGGACATTCCAGACGTTTCTTTCCACGCAACGCCTATCTGCCGATACAGCTGGCGACGGACGATGCAGGCTGCTGGATGTCTAGCTTTGCAGGTCGACAATAATTTCCGAATGCAAAAAAATGTGTGAATCCTGCGCACGCGGTTAAAGTTTGCTTTGAGGGCCGTCAAGACAGCTGATGACGTCACTTTCAGGACCACATGAATAATAATGCGAGCCTTGCTTCAGATCATGTCGTTGGAAACACCATACAGCAGAATTTAGGCCGGAGTACGTTTTGCCCACTGCTTATGATGACCCCCCCCCCCCCGCCCCCTCCATGAGGCACCACTTTCCGTGGTGGGAGATTGAGCGCTCCATTGATCCGACAATTTATTGGGAAGGCTTCACAAGCATTCCCAATCGCGCCTTTCCGGGCAAAGGCAGGGGGGCCACGCTAAGCGTGTTTCTCGTAAGATACCTGACTGTGACCATGGTAGGGATAAATAACCCCTCAGACACAGTTTAGAGTTATATCACGGCTGTCGTGCCCCGCTACACCTCACAAGGAGTGATGAAAGGATCTGGGTGTTGAAGTGGCTGCGGTGTCCGCCTGGTGTTTCAGCTGAGGGGCCGCACCCAGACTCACATCAAGGAAATACTTCTCAGTTTTGCGTGCGTTTCGGGCCCAGGCTCCCGCCGACTCGTATCCGGCGTCTCTTCAGCGGCACTTTTTTGGCCCGCTGCAGAGGCGTGGCCAAAACCTTCCGGCCTTGCGTAGAGCGCGTCTGTAGCCCTGGCAGCACAGCAGCCGCCTATTGTGCCGTCCCCTTGTTGGGCTCGTTGGGTGGGGAGCGAGCGCACTGAAGCCTCTATACCCCGAAATATGCCAATTGCGAACCCTGATTTGACCACCACGGGTCCACCTGGGGGGGGGGGGGGGCATAATTTCCGCAACAATGGACAGGAAACAAGCTAAGCGGCCAAAACCTTCCGGCTTGCGTAGAGCGCGTCTGTAGCCCTGGCAGCACAGCAGCCGCCTATTGTGCCGTCCCCTTGTTGGGCTCGTTGGGTGGGGAGCGAGCGCACTGAAGCCTCTATACCCCGAAATATGCCAATTGCGAACCCTGATTTGACCACCACGGGTCCACCTGGGGGGGAGGGGGGGGGCATAATTTCCGCAACGATGGGCAGGAAACAAGCTATGAACAGCATTTGCGACGACGATGAGCAGAGCACAGACATGTCACTGCCTGAGTACTTGATGGTGCAGTGCAAGAAGCTAGACTCTGACATATACGCAATATGACACTAATAGGGATGTGCTTAGGTACCCACTGCCTAGCATGCCAAAACGTATAATAATTGTCCTGCATTTATTTGGCCCAGTACTCCCTCTTTGCTCATATCCATTCGGGGGGGGGGGGGGACTCAATGGGGCCGGGGAGCTCAGGCCGTCATTGGGAGGGGCCCCGAACCGTCACTGAGATAGGGCTCAGGTCTCCCGACAGCCTCCCCCGAGCTTCCTGAGATCAGACTAATAGGAAATCCAGTGATGACATGCCTCTGGTGCCAACGTTGTGAAACAGGCACCAAAACAGCCTTGACGATTGACCTTGAGAGCAGTCTCCACTACTATCATGGGGAAGGGGGCTAGCGCCACTAACTGGCAAAGCTGCCCAGTGGTTTACGCTGATCGTGAACTAGTGCATTCTTCTGACACCAAGGCGGGATAGGAGCATCCATGGATCGTATGGTAATTTCATTTTTATTAACCGGGTATGGAGGAAGAATGGTATTCTAACTGCGCCATAATCGTCTTGTGCGCAGTATGGCTGATAAGTGTAGGGTTATCAGTTGTGCGTGTCATTTTATTTGGACGCATTGGCCTGGTTTTGGATTATTTCAATGCATTTCTGCTAGAATAATATAATTTGTTCTTGTTGAAGTAATACATTGGGAATATTATTTGGTATTCATGAGATGGTGCACTTTCAGCTTAGCCTGAAGTAGATGTGTGGCCAATGTTATGGCATTGCCGTCATGGGGTTTACTTCCTGAACTGACTAAGTGAACAAACTTAACTTTGGCTTCATTTCAGTTCCAACTTGTCATCCTGTCCTATCCTGTTCCATATGGTTCCATGTGGAACCATAACAGTATTCTTCAAGTGCTTCACCTTTTTTAGAAGAAGAAAAATATCCACCACGAGCATTTTATGCGCAGTACGACAAGGGCACAGCCAGCTCACGTTAGCAGAATTGGCCAACTTGGAAATCATACAACCCAAACAACATCTTTAGCACCAAAATGATGAGCAGGCAATTAGCATTATTCATTCTGTTGTTTCGACCATTGCTACCCACAGTGCTCGCATGAGCTGCCTATCATCTTCAAGAAATTGCCATCTGACAATATTATAATTTTGGCAACAAACCAGTAATGTGATTTTTAACACGCAGACAGCAGAGCAGGCAGCAGACGATTTATAACACATACTAAAAGATCAACCTAAGCACAAATCACGCACATACAAGAAACCAAGAATAGTGCTGAGCCTTTGTACATAACATAATTCTGATCATTATTTTCAAATATTTGATAACTTACGGCACATCGCGTGCAGACCAGAAAGGCGCCTACACTCTTACCTTATCATTGCACTTCTTTCGACTTCTTACTTTATTATTGCACTCCTAATTTATTTCCAGTTGTGAAGCTTAAATTGATATTTCCAAACAGACAATACAGAGCAAGACCCAACAATATCGGCTGAACTGAAGCATTTCCAGCAACCTCTAAAAAACAACCAAGCCACGGGAACCCAACACCGAAGCCAAGCCAACGTTTTCGGTGCGCACATTAACGTCTATTAGTGCACCTCATACACGAGTCTGGATAATGCGATTCGCACTTATTGGAACCAAACGCATCGTGACGACAATGTCGCTTAAGCTACAACACTTGGGTTCAATTAATATGAATACTTCATTGCCATGAGATCCTGCCATCATGTCGTGCGGAGGGACTGTCGTAGCACCCTCTTAAAGAAGTGCACCTCTTGTACAATTCCTACGAGCGAGGCTTGAAATCGCTCTGACATCCAGAGACATACTCTGCCGAGATAATTTGCCAACAGCAATCCAAGGAAACGGACCAAGCCCCGGGAAAATAAGACTGAAGCAAGACCAGCCGTTTTCGGTACGGTACATATACGTCTATCAGCGTAGTGCACCTCACACACGAGTCCGGTTAATGCGATTCACACTTATTAGAACTTAACACATCGTGCTGACAATGTCGGTGGAACTGCAAGACTTCGGTCCGATAATAAGACTCATGCATTGCCGTGAGATGTTGCCATCATGTGCGGGCGGACTGCAGTAGCACCCTCTTCAAGTAGTACACCTCTTGTATAATTCCAATGGGGAGACCTAAAAACCGCTCTGACATCCAAAGACATCCTCTACCGAGATAATATGCAAATATCAATCCTAAGGAAACGGACCAAGCCCCGGAAATCGGAAGATAGAAGTGAATCTGACGTTTGCAGTACGGTACATATGCTTTAACTGGCGCAGAACACCTCATACATGGGTCCGGATAATGCAATTCACACTTGCTAGAAATAAATACTTCGTTCGGACGATGTCCGTTCAGTTACAACACTTCGGTTCAATGAATACGACCCATGCATTGTCGTGAGATGTTGCCATCATGTGGGGACGGACTGAAGTAGCACCCTCTTAAAGTAGTACACCTCCTGTATAATTCCGATTGGCGAGACCTAAAAACCGCTCTGATGTGCAAAGACATACCCTGCCGAGATAATATGCCGACATGAACCCCAAGGAAAGAAGCCAAGCCTCGGAAACCGAGGACCGAAGCAAAGGCAACGCTTTCGGTACGGTACATATACGTTTATTTGTACGGGGCACCTGAAACTAGAGTCCTTATAATGCGATTCACACCAAGTAGAAATAAACGCATTGTGCCGACAATGTCGGCTGACTGAGCTGCAATACTTTGGTTCAATGAATAAGACTCATGCGTTGTCGTGAAATGTGACCAGTATGTGCGGATGGACTGTGGTAGCGTGTTCTTAAAGTAGTGCACCTCTTGTATAATTCCAATGGCGAGACCTAAAAACCGCTTTGACATCCAAAGGCATCCTCTACCGAGATAATGTGCCAACAGCAACTCTAAGGGGGCCGACCAAGCCCCGGAAACCGAAGACCGAAGCGAGGCCAACGCTTTCGGTACGGTGCATACATGTTTTATAAGCGCAGCGCACCTTATACACGACAGTACTATCTCGGTAGAGAATGTTCTTGGATGCCAGAGGCGTTTTCAGGTCTCGCTAACTGGAATAATGCAAGAGGTGCACTACTTTAAAGGGGTTGCTTGTACGGTCAGTCCGCGCAACATGATGGTGATATCTCACGGCAATGCACGAGTCTTGTTCATTGAACCGAAGTACGACATTGTCGTTACGACGTGTTTACCTCTAGTAAGTGTGAATCGAACTATAAGGACTGGTGTTTCAAGTGCCCCGCGCCAATAAACCTATATGTGCCGTGCCGAAAACGTTGGCTTTGCTTCGGTCTTCGGTTTGCGGGGCTTGGCCTATTTCCTTGGGGCTGCTGTCGGCATATTATCTCGGTAGAGCATGTATCTGGATGTCAGAGCGGTTTTTAGGTCTCGCCAATCGGAATTATACAAGAGGTGCACTACTCTAAGGGGCTGGTGCTGCAGTCCGTCCGCACATGATGGCAACATCTCACGACAATGCATGGGTTATTCACTGAACCGAAGTGTTGTAACTGAACCGATAATGTCCGCACGACATATTTATTTCTAGCAAGTGTGAATTGCATTATCCGGACCCGTGTATGAGGTGCAATGCGCCAATTAAAGCATATGTACCGTACTGAAAACGTGGGATTTACTTCGGTCTTCGGTTTCCGGGGCTTGGCTTATTACTTTGGCATTGTTGTTAGCATATTCTCTCGGTAGAGCATGTCTTTGAATGTCAGTTTGGTACGGTTTGGATGTTCCGGTACGGCATATATCGGTAATAGACGTATATGTGCCGTACCCGGCTTTGCTTCATTTCTTCGATTTCCGGGGCTAGGTCCGTTTCCTTCGAGTTGCTGTTGGCACATTATCTCGTTAGAGGATGTCTTTGGATGTCAGAGCGATTTCAGGCCTCGCTCGTTGGAATTGTACAAGAGGTGCACTACTTTAAGAGGGTACTACGACAGTCCCTCCGCACGACATGATGGCAGGATCTCACGGCAACGGAGTAGCCATATTAATTGAACCCAAGTGTTGTAGCTTGAGCGACATTGTCGTCACGATGTGCTTCGTTCTAATAAGTGTGAGTTTGTTGGCTCAGCGCACCAACAGATAATCTAACGATGATAAGGCCAAAAGCCAACTCGAAGTAAACGGACCTAGCCTTTGGGTTATTGATTCCAAAGTTGGCCAATCGCTAACTCGAGCTGGCGTGCCCGTGTCGTACTGCGCATAAAACGCTCGCGGTGGAGATTTTTCTTCTAAAAAAGGTGAAGTACTTGAAGAATCCCACCATAACCAGGTTGGGTGTGAGTTTTTGGCTTTGTGGTATCAATATGATCGCCTGAAAACATTGTGAGCAGGTACCTCAGCATAAACTTTAGTTAGTGTCAATTCTTCACCAGTTAGCATCAGCATGTGTGGCACGTAGTAAATTAATGGTGTTTAGAACCAGGATGTTATGTGAAATAAACCAATTAAAACAATTGTGTAAATATTGTATTGTATTGTATATACAGTATTGACCAGCCATGCCATTGATCCACCAGGGAAGCAGTGGCAACTGCCGAGCCGCAAGCTCAGGTGGAGCTGGCTCTGGCCAAGGACTTGCCTCAGACCGGTCTGGGGGTGCTGGTGATGACAGCGGTGGCGAGGAGCCGGACTCCTCCTCCTTGAGCACCCTATCACCCGAGCAACCACAGTCACAACAGCAGGTAGCTACAGTCGGTAGCAAAGTCTGGGTGGAGTCAATAGCAGGCTGGCCAATCCGCATGAATTGCTATGTATGTAGGGTAGAGTACAGTTTTTGTTGCTTAACCAACACACAGTGTGTGGCATATTTTGTCATACTGCAACTTGTTAAATGTCATATTTGCATTTCTTCACCAGTGTAAAGAAGGGCCGGGTGATTGTGTTGCTCAAGGGTGGACAACAAAATTTATCTATCTAGTAAACATGCTCCATAATATGTCATAGTTTGGCTGTGTCATGGAACATTCGTAGGATATCAGATTGTGTGCCAAACTGTTTGTGCCATTTTTTGCTATGTCTTGTGGTGTTCTTGCATATTTGTTTGCGATTTTATACTATTGGCTTATGTTCACATTCTGGGTTATGGCACTATTCTTAGGTCATTTGATCCCCAGTGTACATCCTTCATAACTGGCGCCATTGGCTGACTCTATATCATGTAACACAAAAGAAGGTTCTTATTTTCACCTTGCACTGAAAGCAGAATGTTTATTGGACACCAGTTGGAGTCTGCTGATGCCAGAAATTGTATTGACGAATGCTAGAGATGAATAACTCAATGACCATATTTTGCATGGCCTTGGGCACCACCCAGCCAAGGAGGTGACAGCATTAGTGTGACATTTCTGTGGTGTCATGGAGCAGCCTGCATGAAGGATGTTAGGCTCACAAACAAGAGGATTGTAAGTCTCGAAGCAATAGCTATGAACTGCAATGAATGATCTTAAAAACAGCTATGTCAGTTCAAACCCTATGCAAATGTGCAGTGCTCCTTTACAACCAACCAGTCCATTGATAATGCCATGCTTGTCCATGTGCAGGCTCTCGAGGGCGACCTGGAGCAGTTCCGTCAGGAATGGCGGCAAGACCTGTGCCGGTCTTCTACCAACCCAGCACAGACCACCCCTGGGGAACAGAAGACAACCACCACTGAGGCCACTTCCAAAACAGACAAGGTATAGTGGCGCATTCGTCAGCGTGACATGTCTTGCCCTTCTGTGGATCCAGCTCACTGGTGGTGCGGTAATACCAAGTATGAAACGCGATCTCTGCTCACATGATTAACGCAAAATAGTGCATGACCGTGCCTTCACCGGAGTACCTGGTAGTCGGCGGCCGCTCCCTCGCTCCCTCCCCGTCGCTCGGCTGGCCGCTCGGCAGCCGCCGCCGCTGCTGACCCGGCCGCCGCCGCCGCTGCTGACGTGGCCGCCGGCGCCGGCCGCGCCCGCAGGCGGTGGAGCTGTACGTAGCCGCCATGAAGCTGGAACAGCGGGGCCAGCTGTACGAGGCGACCCAGAAGTACCGGCGCGCCGTGCAGCTGGAGCCGACCGTCGACGAGGGCCGTTCGGCGGCTGCTGGTCAGCCGACAGCGCCAGTTGGCCGGTGAGTGCGCCGCGCCGCCGGTAGGGCCGCCGGCGTGGCGTGGCCCTAAGGCCACCGATTAGCCTGTGCCGGTGACCCGCTGCCGTTGGCGTTCACACAGGGCGCGGGGACGTTGCCTGTGGTGGCGGCCCGCTGCCGTTGGCGCTCACACAGGGCGCGGGGACGTCGTCTGATGGTGGCCTGCTACCGCTGGCGTTACACAGGTCGTGGGGTTTGTGATGGTGGCCTGCTACTGCTGGCGTTACACAGGTCGTGGGGTCTGTAATGGTGACCCGCTGCCGCTGGCGTTCACACAGGGCTCGGGGGACGTGGTCTGTGATGGTGACCCTCTGCCGCTGGCGTTACACAGGTCGTGGGGTCGGTGGTGGTGGCCCGCTGCCGCTGGCGTTCACGCAGAGCGTGGGGTCGGTGGTGGTGGCCGCTGGTGACCGGCGCCGCTGACCCTAGCCCCTCGACTCCCACAGTGCAACCGGACGGGAACGGTAACCTGGACCAGGCGCCGCCACAGGAGGGGGAGAAGGAAGAGCCGGACGCGGCGGACGGGGCGGACGTGGCGGCCGACGAGGGGGAAGATGAGGAGCCGGAAGCCGTGCTGGCCCGGCTTCAGCAGATGACGCTGGAGGACGGCCGCTGTTGTCAGCCGGCGGTGCCGCAGACGGTCAGTGATCCGGCGGACCAGCGCCAGGGCGGCGGCGCCGGTGTCGTGTGTCGTGAGCTGTTACTGTGGCTCTGGACCGGCCTGCTGGTCACACGGCAGGTGGTTCAGACATTTGGCGCCTGGTCTGGCGCCGAACTGGACGAGCCTGCTGCCGATGCACGCGGCATTTACGTGGGAGAAAGTTCTGCAATATTCGGCCACGTCGCTGGTGGGGATGCCCCCAGCTCGTCCCGAGCTTGAATTCGTTGTCTGCTGCTCCTCCCCCGCTTAAGATGGGCCGATTGAGTAGCGAGCCGAACGGAGATTAGCCCAGCATTTAGGCTCTTCCAGCATGACAAATGGGTTGGTTAGGTGTCAGCGTCGAGAGTGAAAGGGCAACGGATTAGCAGCCACCGAAACATGCGTGCGGAGGCCCGCCGGGAGCCGTAAGTTGATAGCTTGCATTAAGTTGTTTTTTTTTTTCATTCAGGCACGTCCCTAGCCGAAGGAAGAATGGTTGGAAGGCCTCCCAACGAAACGTAAATGCCAACGGAGTGCGAAGTGACGTGTACTTCCTTCTCACGCCACCACGCCGTGTGCAACGGCATGTGGTGTCAAGCGCCGGACGGCACGCGCCGTGTAACCTGAGCTGGTCGGCTGATTGTTGGCAGGACGTCCACATCTCGTGACCTGCCCACCGAGGTCATCCAGCTGATCCTGCGCTGGGTGGTGTCGGCTGACCTGGACATGCGATCGCTGGACAGGCTGTCACTCGTGTGCCGCGGCCTCTATCGGCTCTGCCGGGACCCAGCCCTCTGGAAGCGCATCTGCCGCAGGTACAGACGGACGACTCGCCCCTTCCCGCCCCCCTTTGACGGGGTAGTGACCGCCCGGGTGCTGGTGGTCGACCATCAGGAGTGTGTACGCTGTGATGCTCTGTCTTCGCTCACGTGCGGTTCACGTCCATGCTCTGCTTGTCGTGCAGCAACCGGCCCGCGGCCTCCGCTCTCTCCAATCCGCGCTGTTTGGAGCACCTTCTCGCGTTGAAAGTTCGGTGGCTTACGTCATTGCACGAGCGACGTGGATGCTGGTATTGCTTCTCTCATCACACGATCGTGTCGCGGCTGGTTGTCCCGACCAGAAGCGACGAGCGCCAGTCCTGCGTCCCCCGCAGGCCTATCCCATTGGCTGCTCGTTCCGCCTCTCAGTTCCTCTCAAAGCAGTCTGGGTGTGCCTGACCAGCCTTTCCGCCGGAAGGTTCAGCATGCGGGCCAGGTGTTCCGTGTCCCTCGGCGGCCGGTGCAACGGGCACTGACAACTCCCTCCCGGCGCGCCGCCGGCAGGGTGCTGGGCGCCGGCTGCGCCGAGGCCGGCCTGCAGACACCGTGGCGCGAGCTGTACTTGTCGCGGCCGCACCTGCACTTCCCCGGCTGCTACGTCGGGCGCGCCTCCTACATCCGCAGCGGCGAGAACAACGGCTACCAGGACTCGAGCTACCGGCCCTGGCACATCGTGCACTACCAGCGCTACCTGCGCTTCTTCCCGGACGGCGTGGTGCTGATGCTGACGTCTGCTGACGAGCCGGTGCTGTCCATGCCGCAGCTGATCAGGCGGCCGCCGCGCTCCGGGCCGACCATCAGCGGAAACTTCTGGATCAAGGTGGGCGCTCGGCCGGCGTGGCAACGGGCGCGCTGTCTCGTCGCGCGCGGACGCTGTCTGCTCCACAACGGCGCCCCGCGGGGACATGGGCTCGGAGGGGCCGAACGGTTTGGAGCGGCAACTACGCTCCCGGTCCGTGTCCGAATTGTGCCGTCAGTGTCCGCACCATCCGTCATGAGCGGACACTATCGGCTTGCGATGTCCGTACTGTCCCCCACCCACCTCGGGTCATCATCATTACTGGCGGCCGTTCGTATCGGTCAGAGGCTTTGTCCTTGCTGCGCCGTATTGTGAACGTACACTGCTGGCTCAAAGTCGGTTCGGACATTTCCGGTTCGGGGAAGGGAGGGGCACTAGGGCACGCCCCCCCCCCCCCCCCCCCCCCCCCCCCCCCCCCCCCCCCCCCCCCCCCCCCCCCCCCCCCCAGTTGTCTCCAAGTTTAGCGTTGCGCTTATGTCACTGCATGGAATGAACGAACGTGAACCGTTATTTGTTCATCCTTTATGGGTGTCATCATTGCCAGTGACCATATGTTGTGTGCTGTCACGCCTGTGGATAGCATGACTGGTCAAAGGTCCCTGACGTTGTGAATGTGTCATTAGCAGCGAACTTCTGTAAGGGTTAGCGACCTTACTGCCCCACTTTTGGTATTCAGTGTAGTGTCAAAGCAGCAGACATGAGCCAAGATGTGAGAAAGTTGATTACTGCTGAACGCAGGGGGCCCAAATCACTGGTGTAAACCGTTCTGCATGTTAAGACAAAGTACAGAGGACCCGCTCGTTCTTGACGGTACCATGCGTGTGGGTACAGGCAGCCAGTACGCGGCTGCTGCCCAGTCGCCGCGAGCAGACGGTAACGGCGCGGGCGTTCGGCAGGGCGACCTGCTGGTGGCGGTGCTGATGTTGCCGCGCGACAACGGCCGGCGCAAGGCGACGCGCGCCAGGCGACGCGAGAACCTGCAGTACGACCCCGGCGAGTCGATGATGCACATGGTGGGTGGCCGGCGGCGCTTGGCGACGCGCGACCGACGCACGCGCCTCGGCCGGTCACGCGGACCCGGCCAGCACGTGGCGGCCGCGCCGCGTGCTGCCCGCGCGACGCCGGCGTGCGGTGCGTCACGCCGCGACCGGATGTTAGACCCTCCGCATGCGGGATCGAGCAGAGCAGAGCAGAGCTTGTAAAACTGGAACAGCCTTGGTGAATCTGCGGAGCGGTTTTGGAGGGAGGTGTCATCGATGTTGTTGAAACGCGTTTGCAGATGTTTGCTGGGATTAAGACCCATGTTTCCAGTGTTTTTTGGCCAAAGTATGTGCTTTGGCATCATGCACTCGGCATTTTGCCACAAACGGCTCACATTTTCAGCGACGCTATTACTGCAGAATGCATGTGTGAGCCTTTGACAGCTGTCTTGCATTTGGGCTAGGTTCAGTCGGTTCTGTGAAATGGCAGGCACGACGACGAACAGAGACGCTGGCAGGCAGTCGCGCTATGCGAGGACAAACGCCTTGCATACATAGTGACCATTGGTGGTGATACGTGACACGGAACGGAATGTGCCGTGGCTAGTGGCCCGTCCCCCCCCCCTTCCCTCGCTTCGGCGAGAGCCTGGCATGAGGTGCGCCGCGTCTGACCTGGCCTTCACCTCCGGCAGGAGCTGAAGATGCTACCCTTCCGGCTGAAGTGGCAGTCGTACCGGATCATCACGCGCTACACCAACGGCCGGGAGACGATCAACACCATGGACCTGGGTGACCAGTTCCCGCCGCTGGTGTTCTGTCCGGTGCGCAGTTACGCGGCCGTCAGCGAGGCGCCGCTCTGCTAGAGCAGCGCGCCGGCCAGCGGGGCGGGACCGACCCGCGGCAGCGAGGCGACGGGGACAGCCCCGCCAGGGGACCTGCTGGTGGGCGAGCGTTCGGCGGCGCGTTCCCCGGCGTGGAGCTCGCGGAGCGCGGCGCGCTGCTCCGTCTCTGAAGCGCTACGTCGGT